ATCCCTCTCTCTTGCTTAATTTTCTCCGTACCTTTTACACCATATGGTGGGCTTGTTCACTTATTTGTTTGTCTATTTATTTTCCGGCTCCCTTCAGTAGAATGTAAACTCCGTAAGGATGGAGATTTCTGTTAACTTTGTTTATTGCTGGATCCTCAGCCTGGAACATAGCAAGTGCTCAACCAATATTTGCTACAATAAAATGAAAGGTACATAGTAGATGCTTAATAAATGTTATTTATTATTATTTTCATCTTTACAGTATTAGATGAGCCTCACTTAGCCAAATATGTCATGAAAAGGATATGCTGGTAAGCGTAAGGTTCTGGTTTGTTGTGAAATAAGTCATTGTTGATGAAACAACACATTTTAAATCGTATTTTTAAAAATAATTCTTCCCTAAAAATAAGGATTGATTAAATGGCTGTTAATTGCTTACTTAACACCCAAAGCTTTAATCAGCCATAAAAAAGAATGAAATAATGCCATTTGCAGCAACGTGGATGGACCTAGAGATTATCACACTAAATGAAGTAAGTTAGAGAAACAAACATCATGTGATATCACTTATACGTGGAATCTAAAAAACCGATACAAATGAACTTATCTACAAAACAAAAACAGACACAGAGAACAAACTTATGGTTACCAAAGGAAAGTGGAGGGGAGGGATAAATTAGGAAATTGGGATTAACATATACACACTGCTATATATAAAACAGATAAAAAACAAGGACCTACTGTATAGCACAGGGTACTCTAGTCAGTATTCTGTAATAACCTATATGGTGAAAAAAATCTGAAAAAGAATAGATATATGGATATGGATAACTGCATCACTTTGCTGTACATCTGAAACCAACACAACATTGTGAATCAACTATACTCCAATATAAAATAAAATAATTTTTAAAAAAACACCCAAAGCTCTGGGATGGCCTTCATCAGTTCTGATGAAGAAACACTGGCCACCCTTTAGGCCCTTGTCTGCAAGCATCACCTCTGTCGCTCTCCCCTCATGAGTTTCAGCAAAATCTTATGGAGAGACAGAATAATGGGGAAGATAGGTCAAGGGAGCGACTAATGCTCGCTCACCTCCTAAGAAGTCTGATTCTTCCCTTTAGATACAGCAGAAGCTGGCTGTGTTCATATTTGTGCTGTGATGGCTGACCTCCTCTCTACCTGCCCTCATGTTGCAGCCTGTGTACTGAGATAGTGTGTAGGCCCGGGTCTAAATCCTGGCTCTTCTGCCCATTAGCTGTGTGATCCTGGATATGTAACTTAACCTCTCTGCCCAGTCTGTTTATCTATAAAATAAGGATCTCATGGAATTGCTCCACGGACTAGAGATGAGGTTTGAATGCTCCTAGCCCCATGCCTAGTGCATAGCTGGCCCTCAGGACATTGTTAGCCATCTTCCACAGGCGTCTGGACAACCTGAATCCCTCACTCACCCTCTGTGCTGCCAGAACTCTGATCAATGGAACCACCCAGGAAATAAGAACCGACTCCATCTACCTCTGCAAATTTCTTATCCCTCAAAGCAGGACCACCTGGAAAAGGACTGTGCCCTGAATCTAAACTCTGAGCCTGGGATGTTGATGGTGCCGAGAGGGACACGGATGGTTCTGAAGGACATACTATGAAACGCTTCACCCACGTGGTGGCAAGGACCCAGGTCACAGCCCTGCCACAAAGACCCAGCCACAGTTGGCACAGAGAGAGAAGGGTTTTCCTGCCCAGACTCATCTTAAACCTTGATCAGGCAGGCTCCCCACATGGGACTAGAAGAGCAGATTTCACTGCGTGGGTTGAGGGAAATAAAAGAGGTAGCAGCTGCCCTTATTCATGCTTCTAAGACATAGTTATCTGGTTCACTGTTAAAATGTGTCTCAGTGAATGGCCTACCCAGGCTGATTGGATTAACCAGTCAGGAAGGTCCAAGCAAGGTGACACTGTTCTAGAAGAATTGTTGTATTACTTTTCACATTTAGATTTTAAAATAACCTTAGGTGTTGAGTTTTGTGTGAAGTGGGAGTGAGTTTCACGTTTTTCCGTACAGATATGCACTTGATCCAGCACCATTTATCGAAGAAGCCATTCTTTCTCTATTACTCTCTTAGTCTCTTTTGTTGTAGATCAAGTGTCCATATGCTGTGGTCCTGTTCCCGCACTCTATTCAGTTCCAACAGCTTACTGTTTTAATGGCTAAATACTTCACGTATATCATTCTTCTCTATCATCAAAATAATCACCATCGCCGTCATCGCCGTCATCAGCACCATCACCATCAGCACCATCCTCATTTTCTTCTTCGTGACCACTGACAGTTACTGGAGTGCTTACTGTGTGCCACAGCTTCACATCTCGTTCAGTCCTCACACCAACTCTATGTGATCAGCATTATTATAAACCTTATTTTACAGATGAAGAAATGGAAGCTCAAAGTGGGTGGGTAGCATTCCCAACATCACACATCTAGTAAGTGGCTGAGCAAGGACTGGTCCCATCTTCATGGGAACCCATGTGTGCCAGGGCTTTTTCTATTTCCCAGGAGTGCTTCCCTCAGCTACAATCTTCCCATCAATTATATGCCCCCTCTCTAGCCTAGAGGTGGCTGTTACAGGTCGTGGGACAGGTGGAACCGACCAGAGTTTGCTCTATTTATGAACAACTGAATGAGTAAATTTCATCTCGGATGGGATTTTTAACCCTTGTAGAACTTTTAAAGACTGAAATTGGCCTGGGGAAGGAATTTGCAATCCAAGCGGGGCTAACCAATGATAGAGATGCCTGAAGACCTACTTAGGAGAAGCTCCCCTTGGAGGTGCCTACTGAGGTCCCCTTCATTCTGCCACACCCCCAGCTCCTCTCCCGTCTAGCATGGGGTTTTCTGACAGGTTAGACCCAGCACTGAATGCAGGGCATGGTTCCCATGGTGCCAGGGAGTTGCCCTGACCCTGTCCCATTAGCACAACTCACAGTTGACCTATCCATTTGCCTGGAGATGCCATGTGCTCTATTTAAGGGGTGACCTCGGAACAGAACAATTCCAGTCAGGAAAAAAAAAACTGGCTCTGGAAGCCTGGAGCCCTGAGAGCTGGGAGGCAGTAGGGCCCAGGGGATAGTACAGCCAAGGCGAGTAGAGTGATTGGAAGGACACTGGTGGGCCAGGAGGACTTCGCCTTCTCTGACCCCAGGATTCTGCTTACGGCTAACACAGACCTGCTGATATTTCTGCTGAGTTCCCATTGCTGTCTGAAGTCAGCAGCCGAGGGGGTGCTAACTGCGTTCAGGTAACACTTGCGAAGGTAGCTTCACGCCCTGCGTCACTACTGATGGGGACACTTTAACACCACTTCATTGTGCCAGCTTAGCAACCTGGCTAATTGACAGAAAAGAAAAAAAGGGTAAGGCGATGATTTAAAGAGACATGGTAAAGAAAAAATAGTCCCTGCAAATGTTTGATGCAAGGCGAGAGTATGGGATTCTTTTTATGTCAGTGGAGGTAAAGCTATGAACTTGTCGATACACTTACATACAATTTTGTATACTGTCATTATAAATCAGCGTGGCGTAGTATAAAAGAAACACGTACAGTGGCAAGTGCATGGTTTTGAAATAAGTTAGATCTGAGTTTCAAACCAGACTCTGTTCTTACTAAACCAACGTGAAGTCGTTCAATCTCAAAGAAGCCCATGTTCCTCATGTATAAAATAGGACTAATATGCCCAACATCGCAGGGATATTCTGATTGGAGAATGCTGTATAGGATGCACTTAGAGCGGTGTTGGCCCAACAGTAAGTACCTTATAAATGGTTTATAAATGATAGTCAAGTATGAGAACTTTCCAGACTACAAAAGCATCCTGGAAGCATATGAATCCAGAGTTCTTTGGGCATACAAGTCTCCTCATTACCTTCCTGTATAAAGAACTGGCTGAACTGGAGCCTGCTGGGTCTAGGTAAAGGGTTGCTCTCCAGTGCAGGCTCACCTGGGCATCCAAACCCAGTTCCAGTTCAGCAAAGCTGATCCCAAGGAAACCAGGCTTTTAAGTCCATAATATACAGCCTGTGGAGGTTTTTGAGCAGGGCAGTGACATGAAAGGTAGAAGCTTTGAGGTCAAGGTGGGAGAGTCATTCAAACTGCTTACACCATGGGCCAGGCTCTGTGCAAGCTTTGGGGGAACTACTCATGGTTAATATATAGCCCTGTTCCCAGGAGAGAAGGGAAGAACATGCAGTAATTCAGGGATTATTAGAGCAACGGAGGCTTCCAGAGGTAAAAACCTAAATCAGCAGGTCTTGATGAAGAGGGACTAAGGAATCTTATGAGAATGTATGGTGTTAAGATGTGTGGTGATATAATAAGTAGCACCCCTGTTTTTATAGCCTCTGTTCAGATTTAATGAGAAAGAAACAAAGAGTCTGACATAAATGGATATTCATGCACATGGAAGGAGACATCAGGAGTGGGCAATCCATGTTCCCTCCAGCAAGGAGTTTGATAGTAATCTGAAAATAAAACACTGTGACCTAATTGATCTTCAACAAGATGCATTGTCCTTATGGTGTGCAATTAGCTTCAAGGATCACAATGCTGTCTCATGAAATAAGTAAAAATACCTTATTTTTCAAAGGTCAAAATGGAATTTTATTTCATAAAATTATCAGTTTGATTAATCGTAAGAGGCGCTATTCAATTTATTTTTGTTTTATTTATCTTCGGCTGGTTGTCTACCCAATAAGCATTCACCCCTTCTTCCTGTCTAATAGAACCCTGATTTTCTCTGGTGTAAAACAGTGCACAGTTAACACATAATGGGTTTCTAGCCATTGCAGCAAGCAGTGGCCATGTGTCGCAATCTTGGCCAATGAGATACAAGTGGGAACCATGGTGCAAGGTCTGGTGTGTGGTGAGCACGTTCTTCATACTTTTGACCTTTTCTCATTTTTCTTTCTCCTTCCATCTGGAATAAAGATGTGATACTCGAAGATGCAGCAGTCATTTCATCACCGTGAAGATGAAAAGTGCATGCTAAGGATGGTGGGGATAGGAAGACAGAAAAATGAAGCGTTTTATCAGACCAGCCCCAATTTGCCTAACTCCAGACTCCATGGACCTCCTGTTTCTTAAGCCATTGTGTGTTGGGTTTTCTGTTACTTGTAGCCAAATGCATTTCCAATTGGCATAATTTTGAAATTTTAGATGACATTAAAGGCATGTGCTCTTACAGTTTAACTTACACAGCACAGGTTAAGAAAAGGTGATAAGCCACTGATGGACACAGAGTCAATGAGGCAGAGATTAAAAGATGAGTGGACAGTACTTGGTGACCAAGTATACAGAGGCAGTGACCATTTTCAAAACACAAGTTGGTACACAAATTCTGACAAACGATCTGACTGGGAAAGAGAGTATTTGAAACCTCATGGAGTGTGAGAGAATGCAAACCTGTGAGCATATTCAAGCCTTTGAGGAAAGCAGAGGAGGAAGAATGCAATGATTCAAATCCGAGCTCTGCCACTTACTGTAGTGTACCTGAGTGTGTTGCTTAACCAGCCTGGACTCGGTTTCCTTCTCTGTAAAATGGGGCCATGAAGTAAGTAGAAGGTGTGTAGGAACTCCTACAAAACCTAAAGGTTTCTTAAAGACAGCTAACCTGGCGGGGGAAAAATCCACATCCTGGTCCATGTGAAGTAACCTCAAGACCTGGCAGACCATGTCTGCGCAACCAGCCGTGGCTGCCTACCCAAGAATGTGGCTGAACAAAGATGGCCTTTGCTATGGCTACTAACTTACTTTACTCTCAGAACATCTGAATGAAATAGATGCAGTCATCCTCATTTTATAAAGAAGGAAACAGGGCTTCAGAGTACCTAGTAACTGGCCTGAGTTCATAGTGCTGGACCAAGGCCGAGGAGAATGCTATCTAATCCTCGTTCAGCTTTGTTCCCTATGCATTCATGCCATCTGCCAGATTTGGTAGAGATTGCTAGTTTTTATTTTATAGCAGGACTCTGATTTTAGCTGGCAGATTTTCATGCAGAACTAACACTCCATTTCCAGCCTGCCTTGGATCTCAGAGTCACCGTTATCTAAGCCTTGGCCAATGAGAAGTAGACGTATGTAGGAACTACAAGAAAGTTTCTTAAAGACAGCTAATTTTGAAAACGTACTTTTTCCCTTTGTCCAGCTAGACCATGGATGTGATGGTTGGAGCTCCAGCAACCTTCTCAGGCCCTGAGGCAATATCAACTAGCGATACCATGTGCTCAAATGGAGGAGCAGAAAGAAGACTGTTGCTTAATGACACCATGAAATCTCCATACTAGCCCTGGATTCCCTACCTCTGGACTCTTATTCAACAGGCAGAAATAAACATTGCCCTTACTTTATCCACTTTTTTCCTTTCATTTTCTGTTATATGCAGCTAGATGAATCCTAACGTAGCAAAAATCTTAACTACTATAACTCATCTATCATGTAGTACTGTTGAATTATAAGCCTAGTTTGAGGCAGTGTCCCCACACTGACAGCTTTGGTCGAGTCCAAGGAATAGCTGGAGAGTGGGCTAAGGTGCAAGGCCTATTTTGAGATCCAGTGGTGTCTTTACAACCTCACGGTGATTTTTTCTGTTCTCCTGCTGGGACAGGAAATTGTAGCATACGGGAAAGAGCTTGGGCTTGGAGTCAAGTCTAAATCCTAAATCCAACTGCCAACCAACCTCTTATTAGCTGTGTGGCTTTGTGCAGGTGTCCTAGCCTCTCTGAGCCTCAGTTCATTCATCTGTGCAACAGAGATTGTACATTATTTCTACCTCATTAGTGCTGTATGAGGAATAAACAGTTGCTGAGTGTGAAAGGACCTAGTCTAGTTTTACAACATAACAGGGGCTCAGTTATCTGTTGAATTCAACATTGCTGAATTTGAGAGAATTTTACATATATAAAATTGTACATACATAATATTTATTATATATATTTATATAAAATTAAATATCTGTAAGCATTATATATGTGAGATTAATATATTTTATACATATATATATATAGAGAGAGAGAGAGAGAGAAAGAGAGAGAGAGAACTCTTGGTGAATATGTTTGCTATTTGCTTCCATGTATTCTTTTATCTTTTTTGATAAAGACAATTTATTAACTGTATAACTAAGTAAAGTAGTGATTTAGTTTAGATTTAGATTGAATTTTAATTTAGATTTTGTTTGCCTTTCACTTTAAGTGGGTTCAAAAAGCAGGGACAGCCCCAGCAGGCTGCATACCCCACGTGCTATCCGCCACATCTGGCATCTTCTCAGACATCTTGAAATCGCATCGCTTGCCCGCTTCTTTCTCTCCCTTCTCTCTCAACTTCCTTCCTTCAACAACCATCTCAAATGTTCATATTATGAACCAGGCACTGAAGGATGCAGAAGAAAAAACGGATCTTGAATGAATCTTGAGACCTTTGTGCTTTGACGAGGGACACCGAGTTCCTGCCTCTGACTGCTGTCCCCAGGTCCTAATGCCAGGCCTGGAGAGCTGCTATGGATGCAGACAGTTCTTTTTAGAGCTTCCACAACTTCCTGTCCACTGGAATGTAAGGTCTTCAAGGAAAGAGACTTTTTATTGGTCACCGGTGTAGCCCCAAGGGCCAAGAACAGTGCTTACTCATAGTAAATATTCCTCATATTTGGGGGGAAAATAAATTGTGACCACCAGTCTGAATCCATCTGTTTCTAGTTGGGCGAATTATTTCTCAAACTCCCTCAAAGCCATATGAAAGTAAGAAACTAATACTGACTTATCACCTTCCCTTCTCCCCCAACTTAGAGAATAACCCTCACTGACGAGAGTTAATCATGCTCTTCTACCCATTACACATCGTTCATGCAAAGCCTCTGCATGGCTTGTTTTATTTACATACATAAGAATTTATAGGTATGTATTTGTGTTATTTTCTCCATCACCCCACGTCCCCACACCCCTTCCATTCTTCCATGACATTCAAGTTAGTCTATTTAGTTTATGACCTTCGAACCATCTTCCATACAATTACTTCGGTATACGTGTGTCCTTTAGAACATTGTGTTTCATTGAGTGTGTGTTTTTTTAAGTTTACAAAGATTTTATTGTGCTTTACCCTTCATGCTATTTCTTATTTTTTCCACTGGATACTATTTTTCAAGATCCAGTCATGTTTCTGCCTGTACATCTGGTTCATGTCATCTGACCCCTGAAAACAATGGCATTTAAAACACAGTCATCATTTTATTCATCCATTTCCCTGAACATTGGATACAGAGTTTCCTCCAACTCTTTGCTATGAGAAACATTTTTCTGTTGACCCAGGCTTGAGTTTTGCTGAGATACGTGTTTCAGGAATGACTTCCTATGTGATGGGTCAGGCACCCAAGGGATACCAACTGTTGCGTGATTCGAACATCACCTTTCGCACACTTACGTAAAGTCACCAAGAACTGCAGACAGGTTTCCAGAGGGGAAAAGTGCTCCTGTTTCTCCACATCTTACCAGAACTTAATGACAGGCTTTAGAGTCTCCTTGTTTAATTGGTCTTTTCTGATTGCTGGTGAAATTTACTTATTAGCACTTAGAGTTCGCCTTCTGTCAGTCCTTTTTCTCTGATCTGCGTTGAGTTCCTCATGTGTATTAGATACTAACTTCTTGTGGTTTTAGACTTTTGCAAATAATTTTTGACACGAGGGGTCTTGTTCAAAACATCCTTCCCCATCCTGAGATCCTAAACATATTAACTTAAAGTTTTTCTATCAGCTTCAGAGAATTCTTTCATATTTACATCTGTAGTCCATTTGGAGTTTATTTTTGCTTATGATGGAAAGTAGAGATTCTTATTTTTCTCCTTCCTGACAGTATTAGGGCTGTGGAAGTTGTAGGAAGCTGATAATAATGCAAATTGTGTCAGGCGGGCTGCAGTTTATCACTGCCATATGGATAGACTGATTTCGTAAATTCATTTCAGCATTCCTTACTGCCTGTGTGCTAATGATTCTCTATTCTCCTTTGAACTAGTTGTAACATCATATTGGTCCACTCAGTGAGTTAAAAATCTTTGACATTTACTTATTTCTATTTATGGGAGAGTTATAATTTTATCTTTTTCTCGAAAAAATTGTCTTTCAACAAAAGCTAAAACTTCCTTTTAAACGTCACTTTTCTTTCAAACATTGCTTTCAGATTTTGACATATGATGCTTTCATTGTCATCTAACTCAATAATTTTATTTATTTCATTTTTTAACCCAACGATCATTTAGTAGTCTCTTTTATAGACTAAGAAAGCATAGTGTTAGCTATACTTTTCTAACCTTATTGCATGTGATCAAATGGGCTTCATTTATATATTTATACCATTTCACTTTACAGAATTTTTAGGTATATTATAATGGCATATGACATGTAATACAATAGAAAAATGTAAATGGAAACTTAGATCATGGGAAAATATATTATAAAGCAGATCTCGGTGTGTATTTACCTTGAAGCAGCTGCATTCATCACTGTGGTCCAGGCATATCTGGGCATGTCTAGGAAAATGGTGAGTGGCTGAAAAGAAGTCTCATCATGGGGCAGGGAAGAAAGCAGGATGGAGGAGTATGTTGGCTGCGCTCCTAAGCCCCCGAGAGGCTTGATGACTTGCTTGGAAGCCTTGCACGACTTGGCATATAGTCACAATCACAGCTATGATTTATTACAGCAAAAGGATACAAAGCAAAATCAGCAAAGGGAAAAGGCACATGGGGCAGAGTCTGGAGGAAACCAGACACAGCTTCCAGAACCCCCTCCCAGTGGAGCCACACAGGATACACTTAATTCCTCCCGCAATGACCTGTGACGGTTGTGAAATGTTGTCCACCAGGGGTGCTGACTGGAGACCCAGGAGTCAGGGTTTTATTGTCTACCTCTGCCTGGCAGGTACCAAGATCCCAGACTCCGCAGAGGAAAGCAGTTCAGCATACAACACATTGTTTGCGTGACCTGTTTAAGCACTGGGAGCCTCCCTTATCACTTAGGGGACAGTGGGAACACTCCTGAGATCCAAGGTCCCAGATGCCAACCAACAGCCAATCTTGTAAGCAGGCCTTTCTAAGGATAGCAGTCTCAGGCCTGCTGTGTTAACTCTTTTCACACAAGGAGCCTCTTGGGAGAGAAATTGACCTGATGGGAGGAGGGATTGGCTTGAGGGCCTGTCCCAGAACCAGACTAACTTTCTGAGGAGGGAGGGTGGGTTCAGAGTGCAGCGTGGTGACTATTGCCAACTCGGTCTTTAGCAGAGCCTGGGGAAACTGGCTGAGTCCTAAGGAGAGATAGGGCTTTGCCTAGTGCAGCCTACTTAAATAAAAATCCTAGGAATTCAAGAGAAGAAATTTGAGCTGAACGTTGCCAGGTGAGGGAGGGCAGCTCTGTTGGTTACCAGAGACAAGACAATCTTGTGAGTGAAAAATGTTGCTGCCATTATCTGTAAACAAAGGATGTTGCAGCCACCAAGCCACTGCAGCCACCCGCCCTCCACCCCCGAAGGTGAGCCTTGAGAGAACTCAGGATGAGAAAAAGAACAGGATACTGGCCCTAGCTAGCTAAGGTGCACATCAAAGGAATGATTTCAATGAGCCCAGACTCTTATATCTTCCCATTAACTTGAGATTTCTGTTTCTTTAACAGTACTACCAGGCCTTTGTTGCAAAACCCCTATGTATCCTGGTTCCACACCTACCTCTTTGGAGCAGTCCCTCAGAGCGATCGGACAGGCTGTCTTCCAGGCTTGAAGTCCTCAGAAAGACTGCCAAATAAAACATACTTCTCAACTTTTAGTCTGTGAGTTTCTCTTTTCAGTTGACAATCTCTAAACAAAATAAGACCAGGGTTGTTTACAAGAAATGAGGCCAGAGTTATGTTACCAGAAAGAGTATGACCATCACAGGGAATCCAAATGAGGGTCTGGGGGAAAGACTTTTCATGGTGGGTTTTCTTTTTCATCTCTGAGTGGAAGAGTCCCCTACCCCCTGCCTTGGTCTAAGGGGTGGCACTTACACTGAGGGATCATTCACCAAGTCTCGCAGAATCAACTTACAGTGACACAGAGTCTACCCTTTCCTCCAAGGCTCCCTGGACGGTGGAAGTGACACAATTTTTTTAAGACAGAAGAGATTTGGAATTTGATCATTTCAATAGAGAGGTCTGGTATTTCCAAGGAAATGGGCAGTTGGGGCCATGCTGGGTAAAATGGTTCTGGCCACCAGTTACAATGTGTGGAAGAGCTTTTCCCCATACCACCAAGAAGTTCTCCGGCATCAGCTGGGTGTCCTACACATCAACCCAATTCTGACACCGTCTACCTGGAGAGAGCATCATATTCCACAAGTTAAGGGCTCAGTCCTGCAAGAATGCTCACTCTCCACACCCCCACCCCACTTCAGATGCCATCGCTAGACCAGGTTGTCACCTGGGCTTCTGACCAACTGGCTGTAAACTGGAGTTTCCAATGGCCCCCTCCTTAGGTTCGATTAATTTGCTAGAGCAGCTTACAGAGCTCGAGAAACATTTGACTTACCTGATCACCGGTTTATTAAGAAAGGATATAACTCAGGAACAGCCAGATGGAGGAGATGCACCGGGCAAGGTATGGGGGAAGGGCACCGAGTTTCCACGCTCTCTGAGCCCACCACTCTCCTCAAATTTCAATGGCTTCCTCAACCCAGAAGCTCTCTGAACCCTGTCCTTTGGATTTTTATGAAGGCTTCATTACATAGGCACGATTGATGAAATCACTGGCCATTGACGATGGATTCAACCTCCAGCCCCTCTCCCCATCCTGGAGGTGGGTGGGGAGATGGGACTGAAAATGCCAGCCTCGAATCACGTGGATGGATCTCCTGGCAACCAACCCCCATCCTTTTCTAACCTAGGGGCTTTCCAAAAGCCGTCTCTTTAACATAACAAAAGACACTTTCATTGCCTTCTGCACTGAGGAAATTCCAAGGGTTTTAGGAGCTCTGTGCCAGTAAAGGGGACAAAGAATACATAGAATTCTTATCAATCATAATATCACATTGGGGCAGACGGTTAATAAGACAGAACATGAGAAGGGAGAGGAATGGAAAAGGGGATTATGGGAAGAGCATATACATACAGCACATCTCTCCAGTCATAGAACTTGACGCCTTGCCCCTAGAATGACAGGGAAGGGTTGGGATGAGGCCCAGTTCTTCACTAACTGGTGCAGTGCTGGGTCCATCACCTGAATGCCTGCAAGAGAATTCCTTCAACGTTCTTTGAGATCCAGGTTGCATTCTAAGTCTGAGGAGGGACAGGCCCAGGGGCAGAGGTGGCTGCATCATTGGTACCCTCCTTGGGCACTACTTGCTGGGTGTCTACCTACAGATGAAGACACACTAGAGAGGAAAAAGGTATTGTCAATCCACCCACACAACACAGGGTGGGAAGAAGGGCTTCAACAAATGCAGAAGTACAGGCGTACCTTGGAGAGACTGAGGGTTCGGTTCCAAACCATTGCAATAAAGCCAGTGTTGCAATGAAGTGAGTCACGTGAATTTTTTGGCCTCCCAGTGCATGTAAAATTTATGTTTGCACTATACTGTAGTCTATTAAGTGTTCGATAGCATTACCTCTGAAAAATGTACATACCTTAATTAAAAAATACTTTATTGCTAAAAAGCGCTAAGCATCACCTGAGCCTTCAGAGAGTCATAATTTTGCTGGTGGAGGGTCTTGCTTCACTGTTGATGGCTGCTGAAAACTGGGGGGACCGTGGCAATTTCTTAAAATAAGATGACAAGCGCTTCCCTGGTGGCGCAGTGGTTGAGAGTCCGCCTGCCGATGCAGGGGACACGGGTTCGTGCCCCGGTCCGGGAAGATCCCACATGCCGCGGAGCGGCTGGGCCCGTGAGCCATGGCCGCTGAGCCTGCACGTCCAGAGCCTGTGCTCCACAATGGGAGAGGCCACAGCAGTGAGAGGCCCGCGTACTGCAAAAAAATAAAAAATAAAAATAAGATGACAAGAAGTTTGTCCCATCTATTGACTCTACCTTTTACAAACCTTTCCTCTGTAACATGCAATGCTGTTTCATAGCATTTTACCCACGGTAGAACTTCTTTCACATTTGGAGTCAATTCTCTCAAATCCTGCTGCTTCTTTATCAACTTAAGTTTATGTAATATTCTAAATCCTTTGTTGTCATTTCAAAACTCTTCACAGCACCTTCACCAGGAGTAGATTCCATCTCAAGAAACCACTTTATTTATCCATAAGAAGTAACTCCTCATCTGTTAAAGTTTTATCGTGAGATTGCAGCAATTCAGTTACATCTTCAGGTTCCACTCCTAATTCGAGTTCTGTTCCTATTTCCATTGCATCTGCAGTTAATTCCTCTGCTGAAGGCTTAAGCCCCTCCAAGTCATCCATGAGGGTTGGAAGCAACTTCTTTTAAACTCCTGCTAATGTTGATATTTTGACCTCTTCTGGTGAATTACGAATGTTCTTAACAGCATCTAGAATGGTGATTCCTGTCCAGAAGATTTTCAATTTACCCAGATCCATCAGAGAAATCACTGTCTATGACAGCTATAGCCTTACAAAATGTATTTCTTAAATAATAAGACTTGAAATTCAAAATTACTCCTTAATTTGTGGGCTGCAGAATAGATGTTGTGTTAGCAGGCGTGAAAACAACACGAATCTCCTTGTACGTCTCCATCAGAGCTCTTGGGTGACCAGGTGCATTTCAATGAGCAGTAATATTTTGAGAGGAATCTTTTTTGTCTGAGCAGTAGGTCTCAACAGTGGGCTTAAAATATTCAATAAACCATGTTGTAAACAGATGTGCTGTCATCTGGCTTTGTTGTTCTATTTATACAAGACAGGCAGAGTAGATTTAGCATAATTCTTAAGGGCCCGAGGATTTTCAGAATGGTAAATGAGCATTGGTTTCCACTTAAAGCCACCAGCTGCATTAACCCCTAACAAGAGAGTCAGCCTGGCCTTTGAATCTTTGAAGCCAGGCATTGACTTCTCCTCTCCAGCTATAAAATTCCTAAATGACATCTTCTCCCAATATAAGGCTGTTTCATCTGCACTGAACAATCTGTTGCTTAGAGTAGCCACCTTTCATCAATTACCTTCACTAGATCTTCTGGATAACTTGCTGCAGCTTCTACATCAGCACTTGCTGCTTCACCTTGTACTTTTACGTTATGAAGATGGCTTCTTTCCTTCTGCCTTATGAACCAGCCTCTGCTCGCTTCAAACTTTTCTTAGGCAGCTTCCTCACCTCTCTCAGCCCTCATAGAATTGAAGAGAGTTAGGGCCTTCCTCTGGATTAGGCTTTGGCTTAAGGGAATGTTGTGGCTGCTTTGATCTAAGCAGACCGCTAGAATCTTCCTATCAGCAATAAGGCGATTTTGCTTTCTTATCATTCCGGTGTTCACTGGAGTAGTGCTTTGAATTACCTTCAAGAACTTTTCTTTTGCATTCACAACTTGGCTGTCTGTCTCAAGACGCCTGGCTTTCAACCTACCTCAGCTTGCGACATGCCTTCTTCACTAAGCTTAATTATTTTTAGTTTTTGATTTAAAGTAAGAGATGTGAGACTCTTCCTTTCAAACTTGAACACTTAGAGGCCATTGTAAGTTATTAACTGGCCTAATTTCAATATCTCTGTGTCTCAGCGAACACGGAGGCCTGAAGAGAGAGAGGGAGCAGTCAGAACACACAACATTTATCTTATCGATTAAGTTTGCTTACATAGGCACAGTTCATGGCACCGCAAAACAATTACAGTAGTAACATCAAAGATCACTGATCACAGATCACCATGACAAATATAACAATAATGAAAAATAATCTTGAAATATTTCAAGGATCACCAAAATGTGACAGAGGGACACAAAGTGAGCAAATGCTGTTGAAAAAGTGCTGCCGATAGACTTTCTTGATGCAGGGTTGCCACCAACCTCAATTTGGTAAAGAAAAAAATAAATAAAATAAAATTAAAAAGGCAATATCTGCAAAGCACAATAAAATGAAGTGCAATAAAACGTGGTGTGCCTGGAATTTATTCTCTAAAGGCTTGGGGTCCAGTAGGAACTGCTCTGGGTCCCCTTCTAGTAAAGGGTCACAGGCAGCCCTTGGAGGTGCTCGTGTAGTCAGGGCCCTGGGGCATGGGTGGAGATCACAGGGAAGCAGCAAAGACTGGAGCTCAGAGGAGAGGAGGTCCCCAGAAGGTGGAATCTCACTGGGAAAAGGAGCCCTGGAACCGTGAGTGATTCCCCAGAAATGCCTGGAACACAAGCTGTGGCTCCTTCCTTGGTAGGTGGGGCGAGAGCCAGTGATCTCACCCTGAGAACCCACCTACTGAGCCCCTGGAAAGTCTGGGTTGTATGAGCTAGAATGCAAAGATAATACCAGAAAAAAAATTAACTTGTGGAGAGGCAAATGCAGTATCAGTGCTTCTCTCAAAGAAATACGGCCAAAGGGAATTTTTAAAAAATTCTCTTCTATTTTTATGTGCACAACTTAAGGAACATTAAATGGGATTCAGTTCATAACTATGAACAGGCCTCTCAGATTGCCTCCAAGGATCTTTATTTGCTTTTGCATTGATTTGTAAATATTTTTATTTATAGAACCCTCCAAGAAAAGGAGAGGTGGGCAGTGGTATATGTTATAAAAATGATCCTGAGGTAAAATTAAATACGCCTCTCCCCCCTACATTGCCCACATCTTTTATTCATACAACAACAGCAGAAGAAACACCTCCTCTTTCCTTGGGGGCAGGAAATGTTGCCTGAAAGAACTTGAGTTCCAAGGAGGAGAAAGGGTGGGTGGTAGACTGCATTTTCCTAAGGTCCCCTAACAATATCTCTTTCTTCATATGCTCTTGTAGAACCCGGCCACTCCTCCAGCAAGATGGAGAGACTGAATCTTCTCCTTGAACCTGGACAGGCCTTTGGGGTGGCCCTGATCAATATAGGGTGTGGCAGAAGAGAGCTGAGTCACTTCCAAAACTAAATCACAGAAATGTCAGGCATTTCGTCATCGTTCTCCTAGGAGGCTCAGTCTTGGAACCTTGCTGCTGTGCTCTGAGGAGGCCTAGACCTCAGAGACACATGCAGGTGTTCTGGCTGTCAGCCCAGCTGAGGTCCTGGTCAAAAGCCAGCCTCAACTGCCAAAAGTGTGAGTAAAGACACCTCCAGGTTCATCGAGCCTCCGGATGTCAAGTTATCCATGGCCTCTGGGTCTTCCAAGTTGAGGCTCCAGACATGAGAGAGAAAAGACAAACTGTCCCCAATGTGTTGGTCTGTATTTCTGACTTACAGAAACTGTGAGCATAATAAAATGGTTGTTTTATCGCCCCAAGCATGGAATGGTTATGTTGTGTACGGTAACCAGAATGGACACTCTATTTTTCTTTTCCTTTGGTGGTGGAAGTCAGCAGACTCAACACAGTGTTCCATGACCCTGAGTGCCGAGGGGGGAGCTTGTGCCTCACCGAGGTCAGTGATTTCTTCCCCTGCAGGACCGTGGATTTCTTTCCCAGCACAGATGATGCAGTATGATGGCCCTTCGTGTTGGATTTAATTTCCCTCTGAAGACTCTCCATTTGTTTATAATTATCCCAACAACTGATGCTCTTAGCAGGAGATAGGGGCCTTGTGCACTTGGTCCTGCTTTCCCCTCCCTGAGTAGGCCTCCACTCTGCCCCTGGGTTTTGGTAACACCACCCTGTTCCCATCCAATCCCGAGAGGGCTCACCGGAGCCCTTGGACCCAGCACATCACCAACCCCAGTTCAGTGATGACAGAGTCAGTGTGTATATAACCCCCGTGTGGCTCTCAGGAATGGTGACCACTGCAGAGTAGTGGGCAGGTTGGGTGCCCGAGGGGACATGGTGGGAGATGTGAGCTCACAGCAGTGGGGACCTGGATCTGATAGGCTCAGGCTTTTCCCCCAGGCAACAGTCGCGGGGTGTGCGGGACGTGCCGACACAGCAGATGACAGGAGATCGCATGCAGACGGCGACCGTGGGTTTGAAGAAGACTAGAAAAGCTCTTTTTGAGGAAGAACTGACAGGACTGAGTTACCAACTGAATGTTGACCATTGGAAGCAGTCATGGTGTTTTCTCAACTGGGTAATTGGAAAATGAATCCGTGAAACAAAAGTCAGAAGAAGCGGAATAAGGTGAAGTGGCAGGAGAAGGCAAGAGAAGACAATGAACTGAATGATGGTCCAGGAGAAGAGTCAGGTGAGCTTGAGAAATGCATCTGAGGTCTGAGATGGAGATTTCAGGGGCATCAGCCTAGAGCTGGCAGCACAAGCCACGGGATGGAGAGGGAGAGTGTGAACGTGGAGGAGAGGATGTGACAAAGGGGTCACCTGGCTACCGGCCTGATGTGATGGCTGGAGGAGCCATAGGTCACTCAGCAGAAAGAGGACAAGAACCGGGAGAACGGGTTCTCGGGGGAGAGATTTCTCTGGCACCTGATGTGCTCCTTACACTTAGTAGGTGCTCAGGAAATGTGTACGGATTGAAGAGACCCATAAGCATGGCTAACCGAGGCTCAAGGAAAACACCAGACCCAAGGGAAGGAGCAAAGTCAGGGAGCAGACGTGTAAAAGAGCATCTAGTTTGAGCTGAGGTTTGAGAGCAGCAGATGCCTTGGCCTGACATGCGTCAACTGGAGACGCGGCGGCACTTTCCCTCCAATGTGTCAGGCAAGCTGTGACAGGCTGCGAACCTTGGCTGCTGCACATGGCGCGTGGAGCCCCAGCTGTCAGGCAGAGGGCAGCCTTCCCGGGAGTGGGTGGGGAGCAGGGCACTGTCCCCGCGGCCTGGGCCTGGCGCAGCTCTCACACCTCCCATCAAGGTCACGGTTAGTAGCTTCCTCTTGACATTCGCAGGCCACTCACACGCAGGGGGTTCCTGCTGCAAAGCTCGTCCTGATGGCTGGGGACGGGATGCAGAGACGCGAATAGCTGTGCTGGGGACGGTGGGACATCATGGCCAGTGATAGAGAAGGGCCAGTTCATGCTGCTCAAGGAAAACCCCGGCAACGAAAGCAGGAGAGAAAAAAACGCGGGGGCTGGCGTGCTTGGGTACCGGGGACAGAGGATGACATCATACCCTGTGCGATGTCCTTTCTTCTGGGGACTGAGAGCGGGGAGGAAAGGCCACTCCTGTCCCTGCTGGAGCTGATGTGGGGACTTAGGCAGTGAGCCTTCTCAGGGTAAGAGACGAGCAGAGGCACAGGGAGAGGAGAGTGACGCAGGGAGAATTTGGACAAAGCAGCCCGGGCTCCAGATTCTGGGATCACGCGTTATTAGTATAAACTTAATGTTGAATGCTCACCTTGCAGCTCTGATCAAAACATGGTATAGTTTCCCCTTTCTTCAGTGTGGGTGGTCCTTCCCTGGCCCTGGATGAAGATTTAAGCAGACCCAATGGTATTGTCTTGTATTCTTGGGTAACAGATGGCCCTTCAGCCATTTGAATCATATTCTCAGTCTCCGTTCAGTAATGTTGTCCCCTATCACAGTCCAAACCCTGGCATTACATCTTCTCCTCCCCCTCCCCTGCCCCGTCTCAGGCTGCTTAGGTTGGAAACCAGTAGCTGACAGTATGGCTGTTCTCTCATCCTGCCCCTCTGCCCCCCACCCCGCCCCCCCACCGCTGGATCCGAGACCTAGCTCCATCCGGGAGGAGTCCGGGTTAGAGAAGCGTGAGGGAAGACAGGCAAAGGGGAGTGTGCCTCCCTCCATCCTGCTGTGTGCCCTGGAGCCTGACCCCTGGGACCTGACCAATAGGCTCCCTCGGCCCTGGCCTCCAGCTGGGTTTGGCCAGTGGGAAGCTCTAGCCAGGGATGGGGGGAAGCAGGAGACTAAGGTCAAGATGTTTGTTCCCCTGCTCTCCCTGCGGGCTGCGTCCCTGCAAGAAGGTCCTGGCTCCTGTCAGTGGCCTACTACTACCCTCTCTGGGTCCTGGTGACGACCTCCTCCCTTCTACCACTCAAGCCCCAAGCTAGGAACTGCCAAGACCTTGACAGATGCAGATAAGACAGTCCTTACACGGCTTGGTCAGGCTTCCTGCTCTGTCAGCCTGGAGGAGGGTGGAAGCTGACTTTCCTCCCTCTGGAGGCCTTTTCATGGACTCCTAAGAGGCCTCCCGTTCGTCCATCTCCTACATCCCGCAGCCCTGGCCTCTGAGACTCCCTCCCTCCTCAGCCCCCAGCATGAAGCAGCACGCCCCCAGCCTCTGCCGTGGAGCTTCTCACCCCTCCAGGAAGCCCAGAAAAGTCTTTCCCCTTTGCGGGCGGGGAGCCTTGTTGAGAGTGAATAAGGAGAGAGAGAAAGGGAGGGAGAGAGGGAGAGAGAGAGAGCGAGCGAGAGAGAGGGAGAGAGGGAGGGAGAGCACCAGCCACGTGGAGTGCAAACAGCTGGGAGCCTCCAGCTGTAAGTGCCTTCGGGATTCGCTCCAGCTCTCCAGCTGTGGTCACCTCACTCTCCCCAGCAGCTTCCGGCCAACAACTAAATGTGGCAGGAGCAGCCGGGCGTGGCCATTTCTGTCCAACATGCCCGTCTTCCGTGGACCGTTTTCTGTGCCTCTCTGGGCTGGCCTAGACATTCTCACAGCTGCACTGCAGTCTGAGGCTCCTTTTAACCAATCCTCCTTCCTCGTTTTTCAGATGTCAAGACTGTATCTAAAATCTAAAGTCTAAAGCCTTTCCTACTCCTGCCCCCTCTCCTCATCCTTCCAAGCCACTACCCCCAATAAACCTCTCACACTTCTAACTCTCTCTTGGTGTCTGCCTCCTAGAGTAGCCAACTGTCACAAACCTCCTCAAGGACCTTCTAGCTTTTGACCGCTCCCTGGTCCCAGGCAACAACCGTGCGTCTTTGGTTTTAGTTATGGTAACACTCCACTTCCACATACCAATCCTGCTCTGGTTGCCATTGCTGCAGAACAAATTCTCCCTACGTTTAGTGGATTACAACAACCATTTTATTTTGCTCACAATGTTGTGTGTCAGAGTTTGGGAAGGCTCAGCAGGGTGGTTCTCACTTTGACGTTTCTCATGCAATTGCAGCCAGATGGTAGCCAGGACTGGACATCAAAGATGGTGACTCATATGTCTGGGGCAGTGGACAGGAACACCTCCTGCGGCACCTCCAGCATGGCAGCCCCAGGGGAGCTGGACTTTTTACATGGCAGCTGGATTCCCCCAGAGAGAGTGTCCCAAGAGAATCAAATGGTTGTAATATGGCCTTTTCTGATTTAGCCTTGACAACACATAGCATCATTTTATCATTATGCTGTAGGTTGCAAGCAAGTCACTAAGGTTGGTCCATATTCAAGACGGGAGGAGTGTCAAATAATTCGCAGACATCCACAATGACCAATTTGACAATGGCAGAAACCAACAGTGAGCTCCTCATATGGCACTATACCCCAGGGGACCATCCATCACCTGCTGGAAAGTCGATTACACTGGAACACTTCCATCCATCATGGAAGGAGCGGTGCCTTGTTCTCACTGGAATATACATTTGTTCTGAATGTGAATCTGCCTTCCTTCCCTACAGTGCTTCTGCCAAAGCCACCATCTGTGGGTTTACGCAGTGGGTGCAGTATTCACTGCCACAGTACTTCACGGAGCACCGCCTCTGACCAGGGAACTCATTTTCACAGCAAATGAAGTATGCCCGTGGAGTTATATCTAGGGAATTCGCTGGATTTACCATGTTCATCATCACCCTGGAGCAGCTGACCTGGTAGGACAATGAAGTGGCCTTTTGAAGACGCAGCTACAGGGCCAGCTGGGTGATAATACCTCGCACGGGTGAGATCATCTTCCCAAGGATAAAGTATGGGCTCTGAATCCCTAGCCAGTATGTGGTGCTATTTCTCCCAGAGCCAAGAAGCATGGATCTGGGATCAAGGGATCGAAATGGGAGAGGGTCCTCTCACTAACACCCGTAATGATGAACTGGCCAGTTTCATTCCTGTTCCTGCAACTTTGGGCCCTGCTGCTTTAGAGGTATTGGTTCCAGAGGCGAGAGCATTTCCACTGGAGAACAAACAGAACTGCCTTCTGACTGCAAGCTCTTACCACTGCCTGACGGGGTCCGTGTTTGTACATTTCACTGCCTCGTCACCACCGGCCCCTTGACGAACAGAGCAGGTCCCAGGGCTCAGGGGCTGCCGAGTAGAGCCTGATTTAAATGCTAGTAAATCACAGTCAGAGTGAAGACAGTTTTCCTATATCGTATGTGGAATATTGAGTTCATAATGTTCTAGATAAAGAGGAGGTGCAAGTATTTAAAACGTGAAGAAGGAAGTAGGGGAGGGAGAGTAGGATGAGAAGGAAGTTGAAGAGAGAGGAGGAGGGAGAGGAGTAGCGGAGGAAACAGGGAAAGGAGGCTCGGGGGGAGGGAGGGAGCGGAAACGCACAACGTACAGTGTCAGGCACTTCAGACGGTTCATCTGGAGACAAACCTACATACACGGCAAGTATTCTTCCTCCCCAGTCACAGATGGAGCCACTAAGGCGCGGGGAAGTTCATGCACTTGCTGAAGTTTCATCCAAAGCGACTGAAAGGGAATCTGACTTCAAGGTGTCTCATTTCCAACCTCATCTTCTTGCCATTATACCTCGCCATCAGAGAAAGCAGACACGTCATGAGAAGAAAACAGAAACACTGCTTAAAATCACCTGAAAGCATTCCAATTGGATCTGAAATTACGATTTTAACTTCTGAGCTTGACCCGTCTGCCGAAGCACAGGTTTAATAATCTGTGCTTTAATCCACGACTTCATCTATCTGCACAAGCAGGCAATTCTGGGATTTATAATCAGCGTGTTTCTATAATAGTTCTATGGTTTACTGAACATTTTCCCTAGCCAACACTTTACTATAGACAAATGATGTTATAGCATTTTGAAGGTACACATTTTAATTGTAAACTGGTTTGAGAATATTAATGTACAAAGTAGGACCTAAAACATCGGAGGAGTAATGTTGAAAATAACTGTTTACCCCAGAAATAACATACACGCACTCTCTGCACTGAGCAAATCTGGGTCTGGCGGGTCACAGTCGGTGCAGCCTGAAGTTTTCAAATCAACGGAGGCACTTCGGGATTATCTTCAAAGTCTGGATCTTCCTCGCTTGGTATAATTTTGGGTTCAGCTTGAACTCTTCTGGGCGTGTGTTTTTTCGCTTGAACTATGTTAGCCACATCAGGGAAGGCATGCTTGCTGGGATCTACTTCTAGTCTCTCCATTTGCTGGCTTCTACAACAAAAAGGGCAAAGGAAATTGAGGTATCAGTTTTAAGTAAATTTCAAGTAGATTCAACTCATTCATTCATTTGTTCAGCAAATATCGGCAAGTACTATCCCTGGAGCATGGAGGCAAAAATAGGACCCCATCCCTGGTTTCAAGTAGCTTAGAGCCTAGTAGAAGCAAGAGTCGACCCTTGGAGAAATAAAGTGCTAAAGAGCGCCGCAGGGCCGTGCTGACGTGCAGGCAGGTGGAGGAGAGGGCAGCGGGGAGACTCTGCTTACCTAAGATTTTTTTGATAATTGAAATGATACAGCAGGCCACGCCCCAGAGCCAAGATCAATAATAGAATCACACCAGGCAGTTCTCACTCCTGAATGGAGCTAATCAGGCTCCCGGACCCTGCTGCTTCAGACCACTCAGCCTGCACTACAAGGTCAGGTGCACACCAAGCTCAGCCCACAGTTTCCCCTCCCACAAGAACCCACTCCTCCGCCGGCACTCCGTCCTTCCAGCGATAGCTGGAGTGAAGCGGACCCAGGAGGCAGCTCTGCTGGCCACTGAGTCCCCTTATCACCATCATAGAGAAAACTCTAGATGATACAGTCACAGGGCTGCTTTTCTGGCAATTTCCATTCCATAGGCCTGGAGTTGGACCCAGTAATCTGTATTTATATAAAGTTCCCCCAGGGATATCGATGATTTAGAAATTATTTTGGAATCACCGCACCATTAATTCATTCAGTTATTCAACAGATATACCTTAAACGCCGACTGTATTCTAGTTGCTGTGCTAGACACCAGAAATAGCATGGTCTGTGCAAACAGACAAGCTTCCTGGTAACATCTAGGAGTGCAGTGTTGTGCTCAATAGGAAAGTTATCACATCGTCATGTAATTGTCTCATTACCGACCTGTTCTCCCTATAAGACTGACATCTTTGAAGCAAAGGTGTTGTCTTTTTCATCTTGCATCTTTGGCGTATAGCTTTACCGAATAAGTAGTTGTTGAATAAATGAAAAAAAAAGTTATTATTGTGGATTAACGAAATTAAATAAGAAACTATCTCTGACCTAAGGAATATCACAGTCATTCTAATCCAGGAGCTCCAAACCCATGTCCTCAGACCAAACTCGTGCAGCAGACACAATGTCGTGGGGGAAGGAGGACCGATTTTCTTTGGAAAGTGTAAACTCTGCTGTTCTTACAGCCCTCCCGCTCATTCCTGTAATCTGCACAGCCCCTGAAAGATTTGCCTTTTTGATTCCTTAGTATCTTGACTAATACTTCTGGACCTGCTGAAGAAAAATACAAAGTATACAAAGACTATAAAAGGGCATTTTCTGAAGTCCCAGATTGTACACTATAAACAGTGTTAAGAAGTTACAGTTTTCAAAGACTTGCATTACAGTCACTATTAACTATAGCGTACTTTTTAATTCATCTGTTCTTATTAAAAGACTATGATATCTATGGCTTAATTAAGTAAATATCTAAATTCATCTATTATAATTATGTTGTCCTTGACTTTGAGGAAAAGCAGCCCATCTCAATTGTAGGCATATCTCTTGGGCCATAACTTCTGGATCTCAGTAATAAACTATGAGCTTAGCTAGTATGTATATAGTTATCTGCAGAGCCCCTGCTTCAGATGTTGTGAGGAACAGTTTGCATGCAGGGCTTTAATGACTCATGAATCTCTGGGCCTGAGGCACCTGAGGACCACACTCGTCCCCAAAATAAAGAGGAGAGGGGCTTTTCTCCCTGGCTGCTTCCTGTCCCTATGTCACAGGCCTAAAGTGACAGATGCCCATTGCTGGTTTTACCCACTACCTGGCTGTCAGACCAGAACCTCTGGCACCTACTAAGAATAGCTGGAAGATGGAATGAATAAATTTATTACCATGGAAGAAAGAAAGAAAATGTCTAAAATCAGTAGGCAGTAGGCGTAAAATACATCAACGATTGACTCCTTCTATTAAAGAACATAAAGAAATGATAATCTGTTGGGCTAGCTTGTTTGGACCGAAGACTCCCACTACCCACGAAAAACTTTACTGAGATGCTGAAAGATGTGGTGAGATAATTAGGATCCACAAGGTCAGAATTCAGTGAAAGGAGGAACCCAGAAAGGGGAATGGAGTCCTGAGACCACCTTTGCCCTGAGGGCATTCGGTGAGCCCCTAAAGTCAGGCTTTGGTCTTGCTGGATGTACAGAGTCTGGGGACAGAGGGCCAGGCCCTGAGCGTGCCAGGTGGGCAGTCTAACAGGATGCCCTCTCTCCAGTAAGGGTGCAGTCCCAAAGGGCTTCTGCCTCCTGTATGAGTGAATGAGAGGTAAACCCGCTCTGCCCACCTCCCCAGGGGGCTGTGAGGGGAGGTGCCCCAGTGGGACAGAAGAGGGATGAGTTGTCACCACAGGCTGGCACTTCCATGGGTTTATAGCAGCTAAAAAACAAACAAACAAACCCTCAATCTTGAACTTAGACTGAAGTGGTTCTAAACTAGCAGTGTCTTTAGGATCTGCCCCAAAGCACACATCAGTGCTCCCTGGCAGCGCACCTCCTGGACCTCTGAGAAGCCCCCAACAAGGCAGCAGATCACAGGAGAAAGTAAACAAGTACTCAAGTAAACGGGCACTCTGCATAAGAATCAGCAGAAGCAACAAGAACAGAAATAGAGAGGTAAGAACTTCAGACAGTGACTAGGAAAGCATGAATTATAAAAGCACTACACTTACGTTTAAATAAAATGTTCCAGACTTGAGAGTAAAATGCTGAAAACTTTCGGTCTGGAATTGGCAATAAGACAAAGATGCCTGCTATCACCCTCTTTTCAACATTGTACTGGATTTTTTCCCTATGCAGTCATGCGCGAAAAAGAAAAGATACAGGTTTGGGAAGAAAGAAAGCCATCATTCTTTGCCATATATCATCAGGGAAACGGGAGTTAAAACAGCAATGAGATACCACCTATTTAGAACGGTCCAGATCCGAACACCGACAGCACCAAACGCTGGCGCGGATGCGGAGCAACAGGAACGCTCACACATTACTGGTGGGGAAGCAGAACGGTGCAGGCACTTCAGAGGACAGTTCGGCAGCTTCTTACGTAACTAAACATACTCTTACCATACGACCCGGCAGTTGTGCTTCTCGGCATTTACCCAAAGGAGCTGAAACTTTATGGCCACGTAAAAACCTGTGCAGGATGTGTATAGCAGCATTATTCATAATTGCCAAACAACTGGAGCAGCTAAGATGCCCTTCAGTGGGTGAATGGATAGATTAAACTGTGGTCCATCCAGACAATGACATATTATTCAGCATTAAAAAGAAATGAGCTAGCAAGCCATGAAAAGACATGGAGGAACCTTAAATGCCTATTACTAAGGAAGAGAAGTCAATCTGAAAAGGCCACGTACTGTATAATTCCAATTACATAATACTTTGGAAAAGACAAGATTATGGTGACAGTAAAAAGACGAATAGTTGCCAGGGGTTGCGAGGGGGGAGAGCGGGATGCATAGGTGGAGCACAGAGGATTTGCAGGGCAGTGAAACTCCTCTGTATGACACCGTAGTAGTGGATACATGTCATTATACATTCGTCCAAACCCACAGAATGCACAACACCAAGACTGAGCCCTAATGCAGATTACGGATTTGGGTGCTAATGATGCATGGATGCAGGTTCACCAGCTGTAACAAATGTTGCACTCTGATGGGGGATGTGGATAATGAGGGAGGCTGCGCCTGAGCTGGGGCAGGGAGTATATGGGAAATCTCTGTGCCTTCCACTTGATTTTACTGTGAACCTAATAAGACTGCTCTAAAGAAGAAAGTCTAATTTTTCGAAACGACACCATGAGGAGAGTAAGAAGGCAAGCCCAGGAATGGGCTACGTTTTATGGTCCTGCTTCCACCACTCACTTAACAGCTTTGCGATCTTGGACAAATTGCTCAATCTCTTTGAACCTCAGTACATTAGGATACGAGGATTTATACCGCAGTTATTTTGAAGAGTAAAGACAGCGCATAGCATCATATAGCACAGGGTAGGCACTCAGTCCTCAGTAAGTCCACTTTTGAGGAAGTTGTGTGTTTTCCGTCATCGTACAGTGTCACAGGACCACAAGAGTTCACTGGGTCAGTGACCTTCCCCCCAAACATGACCCCATCTGGTCCCAGTGAACATAACTCTCCTTCCCTTTATCTTCTCCCTCTATTCACTCTGTCTCCACAGCATGAGGAAAGGACCACTCAGGCTATGAGAGGGTTGAGGGGCCTATTCCGACCTCCCTGCCCCCAGTTACCGCTGCCTCTGTAGTCCTTTCCCCCAAGCCAACAACCTGCCTGACCTCGTTCCCATGTGCAGCATTTATAGGTGGCTGTTTGGCTAATGGGTTGCCCAGCCAGAAGCTGAGATAATGTGTGTAAGGAAGTTTGTCGGTGATTAAGGAGCACCACAAACAACCTTCCCATCGATGGATTATGAACGGTCATGAGGTGATCCTTTCTCAGTAACGAAAATGAAAAAGAAAGGCTTTGTGAAAATACTGCAGGAGGTCCTCTTATGACGAATTGTGCTAGGATATCTCTAATCATCAAGTGTAATCACAGTAATGACGGTTTCCCTGGAGTCTTGAAAACCAGCTCCAAACTTTGGCAATGACTTGGTTTCCCATCCCTGTGATTCCTCATAAATTAGATTCAAACTCTTTAAATGTGTTTGATGCCGCTGGGGGTTAATTATGACCGTGAGGATTCATAGTAGTCCTAACACCCTTGATTCTCTGTAAATTACACATGTATCTGAAATGGAAATCACTGAGCTGGGAAACATGAGAGTGGCTTTCCAAGGTTAAAAACAGCAACCCGCTTTTCAGAAGGAATTCAACTCCATACCTGTTGTTTAAACAAACCCCGTGTTTGAAAATCTCTACAAAATTTGACAGTTGTCTTTGAATATATACAAATGCCTGACTGCTTGTATTATGCAAGACATAAATATAGTTCCCGTTCAGGTATTTTTATAGTGGCAATTCTAGCATATACATTTGTATCTCAAAGATAGTTTGCCTTGGTCCAAAATAGAGTCTGCCATCTGGGCGGTACGAGTCTGGAAATCACGGCAAGGAGAAGGAAGGTTGAAAGAGCTGGGATGCTCATTCTAAGGAAGAACTGAGAAATAATGAGAGCTTTGTCTGAACTACTCTAAGGATTGTCACTGCTTGTGGGAAGTGGGCTTTGTTCTGGGGTGTCTCTGGGGGCAGAGCTAGAACCTTCAGTTAGGAATCAAAGAGAAGCTTTCAGACACTGGGGGAATACTGAGAATGCCACGAATATTCTCTTGAGAGGGTGAGGATCCTGTTGAGAAGGAAGCTTAAGCCAAGGCTGGAAGGTGACCTATGATTGACAAGAGGGCACACACGGGGCCTCTCGGTCCTTGCAGCCCTGAGGGTTTTGGAATCTATGACGTGACACAGGTCATAAAAGGGAGGCGGTGTGAGCAGCGTTATGAGCAGGGCTCAGCAGAGTCGTCCCAACAGGTCACAGCTACATGACCTCCTGACATTCCAAACTCCTCCCTCCCTCATTTTCCTCGTCTGTAAACTGAGGGTAAAAATTGTGAGGATTAAATGCGTTACTATGGGTAAAGCACACGGAATGGTGCCTGATACAAAGCAAGTGCCCGGTAAATGTAGCTGTCGGTGTGGCTATTGCCACTTTTATTATTGTCACCGGAAGCTGGAACCTAAATATACACAGATCTGTTTCTGAGCCCTGCAAATCAAGAGTCTAAGTTTGGGGAATAAACATTAATGCTCATGCTATGAATCCTTTTTAAACTTTCAGTCACTGTACCTATGTGGAAGGTGCATTCTAGGCACCAAATGACAATGAAGAGAACTCTAAGCAAAGTGAAGACGGGCTGAGGGGAGGGCACCTTTTGTTCGTCTGCTCCCTGCTGCTGTCCGGAGTGCTTTTCACTGGCTTTGATGTTACTTGACAACCTGTGATTATTTCGCCCACCTAAAACAAAAACACAGGACATAGTTAGTGATACATTCTCTCTGATACATCTTCAAAAATATACACTATATATTTTTTAAATGCTAAAACATTTTAATTTCCACTACATATTTCATGAAAGAGTCTGACTTTAAGCCCCTATATGGGGCACGAGAAAGCTCCAATAGTCCCCCTGTATCCATGGGGATGCGTTCTCAGACCCCCAGTGCGTGCCTGAAACCACAGATAGTACCAAACCCTGTATATAGTATGTTTTTTCCTTTACACACATACCTGTGATGAAGTTTAATTTATAAATTAGGCACAGTAAAATACTAAAAACATAACTAGCAATAAAGCAGAACAATTATTGCAATATACTGTAATACATGTTACAAAATTGTTCAGATTTAATACCTTTTCCATCTTAACTAAGCACCTATCAATCACTGTGGCCATAAGTTTTGCAGTTTGAGGTACGGCAGCAAAACCAGCATGAATTTCTTCTTCCTTCCCCACAATTTCACGGGTAGAAGATTCGTTCATACTGCAGATCTTAGTAACCTCAGCATATGATTTTTTTTTTCTTTCCTTATTAAGTCAGGAACTTTCACCTTTTCAATTAAAGGAAGCACTTTAAGGCTTCTCTTTCCTCGGTTTCAGTTACCCATGGTCAACAGTCTGAAAATATTAAATGGAAATTCCAGAAATAAACAATTCATATGTTTAAAACTGTGGGCCGTTCTGAGCAGCATGATGAAATCTTGCACCATCCTGCTCCACCCTGCCCAGCATGTGATGTGAATCATCCCTTTGTCCAGTGTATCCCACCAGTTCCTTAGTCACTTAGTAGCTGCCTTGGTTATCAGATCAACTGTGCTCGGGTTCAGGTAACCCTTAGTTTACATAATGGCCTCAAAGCGCAAGAGTAGTGATGCCATTGGTCAGAACCCCAGAAAGCCTAGCCCATTGTTTGTCACATGTATGCTTCAATACATGGACGGTGACTGAGCAAATGAAGCAAGGCATCCTTGTCTGGGGGGACTATAGCATCAAATCTGGGGAGGTGAGTGTTCTTATTGCCCTTGATGGCAATCCATGGTGGTACAAGCAACCGTTTTTTTAGATACTGTGGTTGTATATTTTTCCATCATATTTTATAAAAATTCAATCTGTGTGTGTATGTGTGATTTAGTTCAGTCCCTTCCCACAGACCTCATGGGAGGGCCTATGTGCAATGCAGCAAGGAAAGGTCTGCTTAAACACCACCCTTTCAATCATGTATTGAACACCCGACTAGGGAGAATACCTTTAAGCATCACCAATGGTTTGTGTGATGGCCAGACTTTTGCTGAGACTCCAGAAGAGAAAAAAACAACAACAAATGCCGCATGTACCAAACACAGGAAGTTTCAGGGCTGGAAGAGTTTGTTCAGAAACATTTTTTAAAAGGTATATTCTGCATAACAAAAACATGTAGAAGGAAACCATGGAAGAACGAGCAATGGAAGCCACCAATGCAGTGTTCACAGGATAATTAGAGGAGGTGACTCATGGAAAGGATGGCTTAGTGAAGCATGTTTTTATCATCATCAAACGAGGTTTGCTTTGGAGGCAGCTAATTCCAAAATGATGTATTTGCTATGCTTTAAAGTCTATGTCATGCCAATTTTACTGCTTTCCATTCATTTCTTGCTGGCCCATGATGTTACATTTTTGGATGTTCATGTGCCAGGGTAGGAAGGTTTATGCTATTTTAAAGTGAAAACTTAAACGTTGTTTTTTTTTTTCTTTTCTCTAATTGAACTAGTGTGATGGGTACAAATATTTCCCCCATGTTCCTGGCCTATGCATAAAGAAATGGAAATGCTTTTCAGTTTCTATCCATGCCAGTTCTGGTTTATTAAGCCACATTAATGTCAAATATGAGGGCAAGGAAAGACAGAGTTGAGGAGACTAAACAGAGATGCCTTGCAGTTGAGGGAGCAGAGGGCGGTAGTAGGCGTTGGGGTAATGAAAGCTGGCACCTTCCTCCTGGGGTGTCTCGGGGGTGAGTGGGGTCAGCAGGACCTCCCTCCGAGAGGCACGGTGGCAGGCTGTCGGGGAGCAGTGCTGTCCAGGAGAATTTTCTGCGATGATGGAAACGTTTCGGGCTGTCCAACACGGGGCCCCAGAGCACTCGCAATGCTGTTAGTGTAACCGAGACACTAAAGTTTTCATTTTATTTCATTTTTAAGTAATTTTAATTTCTACTGACCAAGCCAGAGAGATGGGAACATGACCAGAGTGAGCCCCAAACCTATGCGTGGGCTGCCCAACTCTTCTTCGGGAGTGAAGGTCATCCATCCATACCAGTTACCCCTAATTTATCCGAGGTCCTTGACCACATGGCCTTTTCAGTTCTGGAACTCTCTGCTCCTTCCTTGACATGCCTGGGACCTGGAACTGAGCGTGAGAATCCGGAGCCTGTGTTTCAATCTCTCTGATCAATGTGGGGTGTAGGCTGCTCCCTTAGCCCAACTCGGGACGACTTATCTAAAGGACCACGTGAGCCACAGAACTTGGGCAGGCAGTGGCTGGGGCCTCTGTCAGGCCAGCATCACAGCTCAGCTTCTCCCCTTTCCCAGTCCTGCTTCCTCCCCTCCCACAGGTGTGGATCCCCAGGCTGCTCCCCAGCAAATGTTCTGCAAGCGCACCTCCATCTCAGGGTCTGCCTCTTGGGGAGCAGTGGCATCTGAGAGCTTTTTTATTTTTTAATATTTTAATTACATTAAATGAGACCAATGTTACTTAAAATTCATGAAAATGTCAACTTTAAGAAAAAAAGCTTTTGAGCCCAAAGCACAAGTTTTGTATTGCTTCATGCTATAAATGCGCTAATCAGAATGGGAGCACATGCATAATTAGAGTCTTACAACACCCCATCTCTAACACTGCTATTTGTCCCATAATAAGCTCAGACAAAGATTCTCTGTGTTTATGGAAATGCAAATAGAATCGCAAATTTGGAACTTTTCTTCACCAGGAATTTGCTATGTACCAGAATCTCAATGTGTTGCTTATTTTTAAAAGATATTTTCAGCTCATTTAGTTTCAAATGTTCTTTTAAGTTTAAAAGTTAGGGGGAATTAAGAAATCAGCAGTAAGAAAAGTATTAACACCAGCATTCATATTGACACCAAAATTCATCTTAACAAAAATATTTATATGAATAGCAGGAAAACTCTTCTGACAAGAGATCTAATTTTCCCAAGTAGGGACCAAAGTTCAGAATTCCAAGGTACTGAAATAGTAACATGTGGTTTCCCTCTATACCTGCAGCCTAGTGCTACTCTTCCTCTAGAAAACGATGCTCATTAACATCAAACTTCCTATTCATTTGTCCAAAGTGTGTTTAGGGGTGACTAATGGAAAAGGTGTAAGGGCCAAAGTATGTTTAATAAATTAGACAAAGTGGAGCAAATGGTTTCCTGAATCCATAGAGGGAAACGTAATCAACTGCTTGAAAATTCAATTGTGGGACAGGCACAAAGGTACAAATTAACATTTTAATAATATTAGGTTATTTTAACGCATAGATTCATGCAGTTGAAAGTTGGGAGTGAACATGGAGGTAGGAATTGAGTCCCCTTTAGTTCAGAAGGCAAATGACCCTTCAAAAGGCTTTCGTGAGAGCTGGTTTTCCAGCCTTGGTTTAAATAGCACCGTGGGATGGAGTTCCTTTACCTCCCTGGGGTAGCAGCCTACACTGAGACCATCTACATTTACCTTAACATGTACGTGGCTGCTTTACCAACCATAAAAGTTACTAATGCCAAGAAATCCAGACTACCTACGTGAGCTGTGTAAAAATACAGTAAACAGATGTGAGGGACAGAGACCTACCTCCTAATCCTTATATTTAGGCTGAACCATAGAAATTACCAACATCTGACTATTTTTTATAGGTTTAATTCTTTTTTTTTTTTTTTTTTTTTTTTCTTTAGCATGTCCTTTTTTTTTTTTTACCTCTCCCGTTGCGGAGCAGAGGCTCCGGACGCGCAGGCTCAGCGGCCATGGCTCACGGGCCCAGCCGCTCCGCAACATGTGGGATCTTCTCGGACCGGGGCACGAACCCGTGTCGTGCATCGGCAGGCGGACTCTCAACCACTGCGTCACCAGGGGAGCCCCAGGCAAGTTTTGAAAACAGTTTTAGCTGATCCCACGGCTTCTAGCCGTTCTGGATGCAATTCATGTATACAACCCACATTTATGGGATGCCTATAACATCCCAGGAACAGGACCAGGAACTATGATGCTATGGCGAACCAGAAAAGCATGGTCACTGCACTGATGAAACATCCCTCATCATCACTAAAATGATATACTTTGATCTACAGATGAGAGATAATAATTGTATAATTACACACAGTCATTTAATGGACTGATTTTAGATATTTAGATGGTTTACAATGTCTCATAATTATACTATGGTGCCTACCTGTATACATTAATTGCTATCATATATCCATTTTATTAGGAGAGTAAAAAATTAGAATTATTAAGTCATAAAGTACTTTTTAAGCTTGATATATGTTGACAATTTTATTTTCGAAAAGATTACATCATCCTCTATTTCCTCTAGCACTTTATTAGAGTACTGTTGAACCTTCACAGGCATGGAATTTTATTGATTGTTTTGCTAGAAAACTGGTAGCGGTTCTGGAAAGGGGAACCAAATAGCTGGGGAAGAGGGATGGAAAGGATGTTTGCTTTACTTGTAAACTTAATACTTTGGAATTTTGTCCTGTAAACACATTATCTACGTATTGTTAAATTATTTAAACAAGGAGGCCATGAGACTGAGGGAACTCTAATACCATAGACATTTTTGTGCTTCTTTTGTAACTGTGATTTACCTCTTTTCTATTGGGGTTTGATATTTTTCTGAAACACTTTCATGAATTTATATGTAATACTGATATTATATCTTCTTTGGTCTTTTGTGGTGTTTTTCCTCGGCAATGGGACATGTCAGCATTTGAAAAACTGTATATTGTCTTGTTTATTAGTTTACTGTCTGTTTTCCTGCCACTAAAATGTAAACCCCAGGAGGAATTTCTGTGCTGGGTACATGACAGGCCCTCAAAAATTATTTGTTCAATGAATGAATAAATGGATGAAATATAAATGAACAATAAATGTTTATGAATGGTGGTTTTTGACATACAGCTTTGGTTAAAGTAACCAAAACTATTGCTTTTCCTTGGTGATTTCTGCCATTGTTAGCCAATCTCTGCAGAGAATAAAAGTAAATATTTACCTTATCTCCACTTATATATTTATTTTTATTGAAGTATAGTTGATTTATAATATCATATTAGTTTCAGGTATACAGCATACTTTTATTTCTTTCTAAAAATATTTAAAAATAATATTTAATTCTTTAATCCATATGAAATTTATTTTGGTATAAGATGTGAAATAAGATGACAACCTGATATTTTCCTAATTAACCAATATCTCCCAATCTTATATAAAAATTAATTTGAAATGGACCATAGACCTAAAGGTAAAAAAGCTAAAATGATAAAGCCCCTAGAATAAAACAAAGGAGAATATCTATGAATCTAAAGATTTCATGGACGTGAGATAGGAAGCAACAATCCAAATAGAAATAAAATAATTCATATTAGCATTAAATCTAAAAACTTCATTTTCTTACTGAATTAAAAATAATAAGCAAGTGATTGGCTGGGAAAAATGTCCGAAAAACACAAGCCGTGATAAGTAGTTTTGGGGTTTCATTCTTCAACTAATATTTATTTGGTACCTAGAAGACAGGTACTATTCCAGACACTGGACGAATCAAGGTCTCTATGATCATGAACCTTACACTTAGATGGCGAAGACAAACCATACAAAACTGAACAAATCAGATCGTTTCTTACAGTGATAAATACTGTCATAACAATAAGCCAGGTAATATAACCGAGAAAGATGACTGACGGAATGTAGCTGGCCACGTTAGCACTGATGATCAGGAAAAGTGCCTGTTTAAAGGAGGCACTTTGTATCACCTGTGTGATACAAAGGAGACAGGCGTGAAAAGAAAAAGGGGGCAGAGTGCACTTAGCAAGAAAAAAACCAACAAGTACAAAAGTCCTGTGGTGGGAAGTGAGGCTATTGTGCTCCAGGAAAGAAAAAAAAGCCAAGTCTGGGCCATAATGAGAAGAGGAAAGTGGAAGAAGAAGATGCTAGAAATGCAGGCAGATGCTAGCTCTTACGGAGACTTCAGGGCCACAACAAGGAAATGTGAATATCACTCCAAGTGCAACGGGAAGCCATTGGTGGGCTTTAAGCAGAATAAAATGAACTGATTTATGTGTTTAAAATGTCACTTTGGCTTCTGCATGGAGAAAGAAAGGGTGGAAAGAACAGAATCAGGGAAAACAGGGAGAGGGCATCAGAGGTGGTCTGGTTGGGCGATGACACTGGCTTGGACAGGAGTGAAGAGGGAGATGGTGACAAGTGACTGGATTCAGGGTACATTTGGGCAGTAGTGCCAACAAGATGTAGGTTGTGAGGGTCAGAGATATGTCAGGGATGCCTCCTAGTCTTTGACTTGGCCAGCTGGGGAGATGATGGTGCCATTTTCTGAGACAGGAAAGACTGTGAGGCAAAAAGATCTGCAGAAGGAAATCATGGGTTCACTTAACCACTTGAAATTAGTCACGCCGATTACAAGTTGGTTTGTCAGTTGGCAGCTGCTTGTAAAGTGTCTTTGATTCTAAAGCCTGTATAGTTTGCTAATGTTTACATTTTTAACTTTCCAAGTAATATATATTTTTTATTCCTTTTGTGGTTTAATCGCATTTTAGGACAGTATTTTGAATTTTCCAATTTTATTTGTTGGTTTACCCTATTTCATACACAATTTTATTTCTATTGACTTGTAATTAAATGTAATTTCTATAATTTTTCATTTGGAAATTAAAGTGAACTTTTCATAGGGTTTTGTTAATTATGAACTTTTTAAATGATCTTAATTATATTATTCAAATAATAAATGGTCCTACATTTTGTTGATCATATCAAAGACAGAAATTGGTCATAAATCTTCCAGTAGAGCTGATTCTGTTGATTTTCCCTATGTTTACAAGAACTTACATTCTATACATTTAAATAATGTACGTCTAATAAATATA